AAGGAAAGGAAAGGAAAGGAAAGGAAAGGAAAGGAAAGGAAAGGAAACAGGCAATATTTCTGGAGAGCACAGAATATCAGGATAGCTGAAACATTTGGGTCCCTCTGGTCCAAGTCCTTCTCAATCAGGGTGGCCAGGACCATGCCCAGATAGCTTATAAAGATCTCCAGGGAGCAGACTCCATAATCTCTCTGGGCAGCCTTTGCTAGTGCTAGATCACATGTTCATTGAATCCTGAGTTGGAAGGGGCTTACAAGGACTGTTGAGTCCAACTCCTGGCTCCACACAGGACCACCCAAAATTTAAACTGTAATTCTGAGACGTTTGCAGCTTTGCTTCAATACCAGAATCTTACTTTCAGATTTATGCTCTCTTTTCTGATTTTTCAACAATTTTAATGTACAGTACTTCCACCATGCTTTAGGTTCTAGATTTGGATTTTTCTTAACCTGTGATGTAATTTTCCTAAAGCTGTGTAAGATCTTTGACTTGCTGAAGTTTTAGTTGTGTACAACAGCATATGGAGAGAGTACAAATGCAAGCAGTGAGCACAGTCAAAATAACTGGGGGTCAGTCCAGTGCTGTGCTTATCCTTTGCTTTGGGCCAGTTTGTCTGTACTATCCTAGCTAGAAACTGAAGTTCAACTTGCTGATGGAAGTAAAGGTAATGACTGAGCCATGTGGTTTTAAAAAGTGGAGTTTAGTGGGTGATTATCCAAATCTAGAAGTAAATTTGGTTTTGAAGCAACAGGAATTGAAAAAGGTGAAAATTCCTATATTATGACCTCTTCTTGAGCCTTCTATGTGGTTTTAGCGGTATGTGGTCCTCAGGTCGCTGTATTTTGTGGTTCAACTACTGTGTCTGCTATCTGTATGACATGCGCTACTCTAAAAGGAAAAAACAAAAACAAAAGATAAATACTCCCACAAGAGGCACAGTACAGAGGGAATATATTTCTTTTTCACCTGCTTGTGTTTTCCCACCTCATAATTGTGGTTTCTGTTGATGCCTCTCAACAACGATGCAGTGAATGTCTGTAGCAAGTGGGAATCACTGCAGCCAGGTGGGAAATGGGAAAGAAGGGGAGAAGATTTTTTGCTTAGCTGTGAGGCTAGAGACAAGGAAACCTGTACTTATGTTATCCACGCAATGAGGATAGTATAAAATAGAATTGCGAAACATAAATAATTCTGCAAATAGAAAGAAACAGCAACAGGGCCATCCAGGGAAATCCAAACCCAGGACAAAACAGAGACATCATGTAAAGCTGGAAATAAAACCACGTGAACAAGGAAGGGTGTTATTTCAGAGGGAATAATCAATTAAAAATAGGCCTAGAATATATAGTATTTTATTCTATAGATATAGTTTGGAATAGTATTGGTAAAGAAAACTGTCATATCATTTGTGAAACCTGCTGCACCACCACGTTACCCACCAAATCGCATATTTCCAGGGCGTTATGCTGACTGAATGTGTTGCATGCATACTTGTGATTTAATCATAGCGTATTCTATTTTAAAATCAAGAAAAATATAGGCAGGAATGCTCACTAGAAGCAGAAGCTGGGCAAGAAAATAAACATAAATACAATCATAAACAATGGAAGCGTATTGATTATCTTTAAACTGATGCGTTTATCAGCGTCATTTTTTTTTTTACTTTAAAGGAAGCTCTCAGTTGGCAGCTCAGTGCAGTGGTCATTCACTTAAAAATGAGAATTTAGTGTCTTCTGGCATTATGTCAACCACCAGTAAAGCTCTAGAAATACCTTATCTGTAACCTGAAGTTATGGATAGTTTGAGAAGTTTGGCTCAAAATTTGAAACAATAAGTACATTTCAAAGATGAGCTGCCTTTTTTTACTCTCATAAAGCATGTAATGTCTTATTTAAAGGAACCTTCAATGTTTCTGGCTTGTACTCATGGCATCCTGTGCAGTTCAGACCCTGAGTTTCATAAGCAAGGAGAAAGACCTTTTCTTGCTTGGGAATCATCCAAGGAAAAATTGGTAGGCTATGGAAGTTTGCAGGAAAGCAAAGAAGTAGGTGATGATGCTCTTTTGACTGTACTTCCCAGCCAAGGTAATATCATGTTTCTTGGAATATGATACCAAGGAACTTGCAAATGAGGAATTATCTGATGGATTTACAATCTGGAAACATTTTACCCCCCAAAATCCTGATTTGCCAAAAGCAAGTCATTAAAAGGAAATGTCTTTTTTTTTTTCTTTTTTTTTTTTCCAGGCAGATTCTTCTGTGAGCCTGTGGATTTAGTTTCTACAGAGCTCAGCCACCTGCACCAGTCAGTGATGGGGACTTCTCAAAGAAATGATTCTAAATTCTCCCAGTGCTGAGTTAGCATACTCCAAGAGGAACCCACCAGTTACAGAGGGCTTCATATTACTGGTCCAGAAGCAATTTCAGTGTCAAAACTGCTCCAGGAACAAGGTACACCTGGGAATGGTTGAGCAAAATGATAGTCACAACTGCCACCTCTCATGATGTTCCACTTGTTTACTTGTTATTAGTGAGTAGCACGTGGCCTGCAGCAGGCCACAGGCAGCCACTTCCAAATCCCTAGACATGCTGCATTGCACAGCTCTTGCTCTTCTTTTATTTTTCTCTTTCCAAACAAGGTTTTTTTAGCTTTTGACATTTTAGGAGAAATTTAGAAAAGAAAAAACGGACAGAGATCTATTCTGATTTATGACAAAATAAACTTCTGCAAGAAGTAAGCAATCAAAAACTAGCTATAGTTGTAATAACCAGAACTTTACGTATTTGTGCCCATCAAAGAGACAACAGAGTGGCATTGTCTATCTATGAGCAGAAAACAGTGGTTTTCTAAGCTTAATCTCATGATTATGCACTTTCCATGTGAGTTAATAATTGTATCTCATTTCCACCCTAAAGATGATGGTCTTGGTGGATAGTGCTGCTCACTATGTTCATTTGCTGAGTGTTGGTTAGTTTTTACTCATGAGGATGTTGTTCCAAAGGAGCTAAGGTGTGGCTGTGGCTAAAGGAGATATACTCGAAGTGGTAATCAACCTTTTAATGCCAGTGGTAAAAATGCCACGTGAAGGCATGCAACTCCTTGAGGACTACATGACTCTCCATACTGCCTTGGCGCTGTGTGGACACCATTGGTACTCACGGTGCACCCCAGATCTTACCTACACTCTGCTCTGTATCAGGACTCATTTTGATCTCATTTCAGAGGTGACTATAATGTGGGACTGTACAGAGCTGTGCTGGATCAGAAATGGAAAACATAACCATAGCCAGCAGCAGCTGGATAGAAGAATTTCAGCTGGATGTTGCACAAAAAGTTGTACTCTTAGGTTTGTGGTAGAAGAGTTCTCCAAGGTGTAGGATGACCTCAGAAACGTTCTTATTCTTGCGCAGCTTTTGTTTGCTTGTTATCTCTGAAAAGAGGGAAATAAGAATTTCCAGATTTGTTTTTTTTTTTTTTCTGCAAAAACAAAATGTCACAGTGCCCTTTTTAGAAGATACATTCCTGACTTCCTTGTTACTCAAAACGAGATCAACCTGTGTGGCCTTGAGTGGACTAGGAGACGGGCATATTTTTTATTGCCGATTCCAACTCATAAATTCTTAACTTGCTTAGAATTTGCCAGATTAAATGAAAAGATACTGTAATTAGGGATTTATTAAAACGTGGATCCTTGACCTGATAGAATATAATAACTCATTTGTTTCAAATAAGACCTATTTAATTGTTCCATCGCTGGCCTGAACATTTCGTGCTGAGGCTTTGAACCCTCTCCATTCTGCGCAGTCCCGCATGTTCTCCAAATCCACTTGCAAAAAGCAAAATGCTCTGTGAAATTCTTGATCCCCAAGCCACTATGCAGGCAGAAGCCCCTAAAACAAAAATGTGTCATTGTAATTAAAAATTAAAGTCCTGAAAGCCCTTATTATTCAACGCTACAAATACTATGAAAATACTATTTTTATACATGCGGCTCTGTTTTAATTTTTTTTTTTTTTGTGAGCAACCCTCCTTCTCCATATCTTTAAAAACAATAGTTATTGATTTACAATCTTATAAATAAGGCTGTAAAATCTTGTAACACAGAGCTATAAATAGATATTTGAAAAAAATATGAAAATTGCTCCCAAGTCAAGTCCATATATGGCACTAGTCAGCAGAGAGCCATTTTACGGAGACATACAAACTGCAGAAAATAATTTCTATTGAAAATGCAAAGAAATCTGAAACTAAGCACTGCCACAAACAATGCAGCCATAATTAAGGAATTACCCACTCCTTCTCCTCATCTTTGAAATAAGCCTTCTCCTTTATTTAATTGGTTAGATACAGAAAGCGTATTACTATATTTGGGTCCTGTTTCCCTAGTATAAGAATAGTCCTACAAGGAATTCCCAGTTAAAGAGTGAGGCAGTTCTACAACATATTAAAAAAAAAAAAAAAATACCACAGGAAAGTGTTATCCAATGGGCAGATGTTAACTTAAAGTGCACATTGTTTGGAAAAGGAGTTAATTAACAACTTATTAATTGGATAGAAAGTCTGAAACTGTTGTACTTCTAGCAAATACATAATTTTCTTCAAGTATTATTAAAGCGTTTTTGTTGTACCTATTAAAGATTCTTGTCTCTAAGTTAATTTCATTATGCTAATAAGCTATCATCGTTACAGAACCTAAGCTTTGATCCATGTTAATTGTCGTGATCTTCAAAGACAAAGTCACCACTTACTTTAAATGAATTTTACATCTTTTTAAAGAATCACACGGAAATTAGGGGAAGTAATTAATTTTTTATTATGTGTCTCAATATTTTTAAGGGAGGAAGTCAATGGTATTGGCTAGAATTCATTTTAACATTTAACTAGGGAAAACAGCATGAGGCAAAAAAACGTTCAGATGCAAAAGATTAAAGAAAATTTGAAACTGGGACCTAATTTGTCTTGATAAACTTTGGTGTTTAATATGCTTCTTTTGTTCTCTGTGTGAAACTGCGGGGTTTTGATTTGTAAAAACTTTTTGAAGAATTAATTCTGTCTAATTTTTATTCCTTTCTTTGCTTTCCTTTCACTGTAAGACAGAGGAGATGACCTTCAAACCATAACACTTTAAATATCTATGAATATACAAGGTTAAATCTATTAGAGGTCTGAGATTAGCTGCTATATACTTGCAAAATATCTACCTTTTGCAGCAATTTTTATCTTTTAATGAATGATAACAAGCTCACATCAACCCTACAAGTTTTTAAAATATAATGGAATATGTGTAGCAAGTGATCTATTCCTCTTTCCTATAAGTGTTGGTTACTTTAACCCTCTGATGCTTTTCAAGGCTCAGTTCTGTATCAACAGGGTATTTTTTGGATTTGGGATCAGGACCTAATGTCAGTATTATCAGCCTACCTATGACTGCCAATTTATAGTTTACCCAAATTCTCCCTTATCTTTCCCAGATTTCTCTTGTTTCGATTCAAGATGAACATCTTCTAAATACGATTTTTCTTTTAAAGGAAGCTTCCTGTCTGTTTTCCAACATTTAAAATCTCACTGAAATGGAAGTCCTGAAGTACGAGCATCCTGTCGTATTTGCAGTGAAAAACAGAGCCTTTTTATATGGCAGTAGACAAAAGTATATTAAGGATAGACGAAGTGATTGAAATCAAAAGCCAGATTACTAACTTCATTCTCTCTAGTTAGCAGCATGCAAGTACTGTAAATGCAAGTAAACATCAAGTTTCAACTGAGCCTGGATGGTCGGATTTCTGCAGCAGACAGGTGGTGAGCTCATCGCGAGGATTTTTCGGCATTAATGTTGTACTCATTTAGACTAACACCAGGCTTGAGTGACCCTCATCTGGATTTAACCTATGACCTGTCAATCCAGAGACATGCTCTCAGACCTCAACAGTTTTGCTTTTCCGTGTTTTTTATTTCTTTTTTTAAGCATAGATGACTTTAATCATTAAGCAGCTTTCATAAGCAGAACATATACAAGCGCTATTCGGTGCTCTTTGATTTGTAATCTAGGTTTTTGCCCATTTAATCCCCAGTGTCTAAGTGAATTCCGCTGAAGTTCAGAATTCTTTGATTGAGCACGTAGTGATTGGGTAAAGGATTGCATTGCTTCTCTGTCTGCTTTTACACTTTCTGTGACAGAGCTTTTTTGTGCAAAAACGTCCACTGCGTGGTATCGTTTATTTTTTCCCTTTTGTCTGCTTGTCTATTATCTGGTTGTTCCTTTTGCTCCTTTTTATTATAATATTTGGCTACTGGTTTCATGCCCAAAGGAGAAATTTCCGATGAAGCAAGATTTGATTTGGTTTTGATTTTTTTTTCTGATGCTAATTTTAGATATGTTTTGATGTAGAACATTTGTTCTTTAATATTGATGACCTTTTTCAAAAGCACGGGTTATTCCAGACCCTGGGTATGACATAAAGGGTTAAGCTGTCCTGTTGTGCAGAGAAGCCAGAGCCACCTCAACGCTTTGTGAAATCCAAGGAAAGCAGTGGCTCCCAAAGTGCCCTCCCTTGCCTGAACAATTTGAAGGTACAATTCTCCTTAGTGCATATTTTTCTTAACAATGACAACGCTTTGTGAATGTTTATGTGAAAACACAATTCAGAAGTACTCAATCCCAGCTGCACTGAGCTTGTCAAGTGAGTCATTTTTTCACCTGGCAGTATGATGTTGTAAAGCTCAGTTATCTTAACTAATCCTGGCTAAAACGCAAAATTCTGTTTTGTACAAAAATTCCTGGCCAGCTCTAATCTTAACCTCTTGCCTATTTGTAGCTTCTAAATCGATGTCACAGTTGTAATAGCTTTGAAAACCCATATGTTTGTAAACTATAGAAACCTTGATATTCCAGGAGATGAAGACAAGAATTACATCTCTTGGCAGTGGTGCTTTCAGCTCAGTTTCAGCTAATGTTGGCTCCTCATTTTTATGCCTGTATACTACGCCAAATCTTCCTTATCTATGCAAACATATTAACACTGACTTCACTAATGCTGTGATGCATCAGCCTCTTATCTTCAGTTTTGACCGTAATGTTACATAATAACTTTCAAAATGCATTTCTTGATAGTTCAGTGCGGCCGCCTTTGGTTTCCCAACTCTTTTCTGAGAGCTGCCTCTCCTACCCACTGACTAAATTAGCTTCTCACTGCTCCCAGCCAGCTAAGGCGGAAAGGTTGCCAAATAGTTTCCTGCTCCAGAGACCCTCTGCATCCCTTCTGTGTCACGGCCCGTGACCCTGTAGCTCTAGTGTTTTTCAAAGGTATATTTATCCCATTACAACAAACTTACATTATTTGGCTTTCATGGTGCAACCCCAGATCTTTCCAAAGTTGCCCTAAACCTCCACTCATGCTATTTTTCACAATCTGGCATCAGACAGCGTTCAGTATCTTCTTAAACCAAATGTGTA